TTATGATGTCATATTAATATGTAATTAAACTAACATAACGGGTAAAATAACGATAGAACATAACTCCTTTCATAGACAAAAGAATATGCATATTATTTTGTCTATGAAAGGAGTTTTGTTTTACCGTTATTTTAGCCGTTCTAATTCTAATTTTACCCGGGTTTTTTTTAGTGTGTATAAACAATTTTGGGTAACATCACGCTTTGAAAAATATTTCCAACATAAAATGCTTTTTTGATTTATTGCTTGAAGTTAATAAAATTTTTACTATTTTTGAACCAACAAAAATTACGCAATAAACCTTTTTTGAATCTGACAATATTTTACAAACAATTCTTATAATGCTGATTTTTAATTTGGTTTTTTTATAGCTGATTTTTCTGAACATTTAATATTTTTCATATAGCACGTGGTATTCTATCTAATAGAACAACACGTAAAAAATGTCTTGTTATAAAAAAACTTACTAATTTAAAAAATAAACTATTTAAGGAGTCCTGAAAAAATGTAGACTCGGCTAAGGATCCTTACCAGGATCCAAGCAAAAACTTTATATAAAATATTTGAAATCAATGGATGAAGGTGACGAAAAAACATTTTTTTAACATCTTCACTTTCAACAAGCCTGCAAATAATCACTATTAGAGTTCGAAGTTACTGGAAAAAAAATATAAATTTTATAGAGAAAGACAACGATTGACAGATGACATTAAAGGTTTCAAACTATATGAATCAGGATAGCAAGATGCAGCCGTGGCGCAGCGGTAGTGCACTTGCTTCAGAAACGTAAGATCCGTAGTTCAAACCCCACCTCTGGGCAAGTTTTGCGACATCGGTTGGGAAGGAGGCGTGAACTTCCTATTAAATGCTCTTCCGCGGTGCTCTGTGATAAGACCGTAAGGACTTCTTGGGGCACCTTAATCAACTTAAAAAAAAAAAAAAAAGATGAAGGAAGCGAATTCCAAAGAACTGATGTTCGAGGAAAAAAACTAGACGAATAAGAGTTTTTAGAGCACTTAGGAAAGGTCATAGAAAAAGGATGAGACTCAATTGAATAAAGAGTAATACGAGAATGAATTTTAGAAGATGGCACAAAAGACGCTTGCTCTTTATAGCAGTACTAATTATAGTATCTATAGAAAAGAGAAAAAGAAGCGTCATTACGACGATATAATAATAGTTGGAGGTTGGCTGCAAGAGAAGGTCCAACTATGTTTACAATCTGTTTTTGCACCTTGTCTAAAAGAGAAAGAGCATCATTGGAAAATCCACCTTAAATGTGGCCACGGTATTCCATACAAGGACGGATTTGAGATTTATAGAGATAAAGAATAGAATCCCGAGTAAATAAGTGTCAAGTATAATCCCGAGTAAATAAGTGTCAAGTATGATAAAGAGATGCAACCTTAGCAGATGCTAATTTTGCAATGGGTCTGATATATGGTTTCTAAGAAATATCGGAAGTAAGAGTTAATCCTTGAAGATGAAGAGTAGATGACTCATTGAGTACACTACCGTTAAAAATATAGGAAGATTTAAATTATTGTGGTAATAATTGGCTGAAAAATTTTATGTTTTATCTGAGTTAAAGTTCATCGTTAACTTTGAGCTCCATGCTGCAGCAGAAGTGAGATCCTTTTCAAGCTCCAATACCCCGTCTGTTGGCTTCTTATCTAGACAAGAATAAATGGAAGTATTATCAGCGAACAATGCCACCTCAGATGTGAGAATAACTGGAAGATCGTTAATGTAAATTAAAAAGAGTATAGGGCCAAGGATAAAATCATGAGGAACCCCTGAAGTTACAGGATATGAAGAAGAGTGATGTCCATTGAGAATAACTTTTATAATACAATTGAAATGGAAGGACTCCATAATCTTAAAGATGTTACCTGAAACACCGTAAGAAGAAAGCTTGTGGAAAAGACCAGCATGCCAAACTTTATCAAAAGCTTTTGAAATGTCAAGAACAATTGTCTTGACATTTCTAGATATAATGCACATTATATTCAGATAAAACCTAACAGTTATTACTGTTACCAAAGCTGCTGTAGAACGAGAAAATTGAAACCCATTTGATTTATTTCGATCTTCTCGTTCTACAGCTTATTAACACTTTTTATAAAAAAATACTATGCAAAGTAAAAAGATATGTTATTCTTATCAGCTAAATAAAAACGTTAGACATAAAAAACTCTGCTTGATCATTAACAAAGTAAATGGTAGCAAAAAAAAGGCAATTCTACGGGTGTGCGCGTGGGATGTCATAATTTACCCCCCCCCCCTCCCTCCTTCTTCCAAAGAAAGCAATTTTCAATTTATAGTTGGTTTTTTGGAGGAAATAGTGTTGGACACATACTTGAGTGAATTTTAGTTTTGAGGACTTTTTTTTAGTTAACAATTGGTATTTTTAAAGGGTTCGCTGAGCCCCTTCCCCCCTCATTTTACTCCTAGAATTACCTCTGCTAGCAATCTAGCAATGCACGTGTCAGGGATTGTTCATAAATTACGCACTACTAAATTTATTTTAGGAGATCTTAAACTCGATTTTCATCAAACTTAATGATTTCGATTTTTTATTTTACTTAAAGGTCTGCAGGGTAAAACTTTTGATTTTTTTCGTTTTGTTTACTAGTAGAATTAAGCGTTGTGTAGTTTATGGACAATCCTTTATTGAAAGTTATTAAAGTCAAACCTGTTTATAAAAAAGGTGGTTGTAACAATATATCTAACCATCGTCCAATTTCCCTTCCACTTTGGTTCTCTAAAATTTATAAAAAATTATCTACCATAGAACTTATACTTAATTGGGGCTAAACAAAGTTTTATATAAAGATAAATTTAAAAAAGTTGTTTAACAGAGCATTATTATTGTTACTATTATAAACATATTATATACATCATTTACATGTAATATACATATTGTTATTACTATTATTAAACTTAAAAATAAAATATTTTAATTTTTTGATAAAGGAGAGCATATACTGGGAGTATTTACAGACTTTTCAAAAGCATTTGATACAGTTGACCACGGCATCTTACTATCAAAATTAAGACATTATGGTTTTAAGGACAAATGTATAATTGGGTAAAAAACTCTCTGTTTAACAGAAAGCAGTTTTTAATAAACAAGGAATCACGTATTTTTATAGAGTCATGATTTTGAGTGTGGGATCATTTAAGGCGCAATCTTAGGACCGTTATTGTTTTCAATTTATATCAATGAAATGTATCTGGCATCATCTATAGTATTTTTTACATTGTATGCTGATAACACAACTTCATTTATAATCAAATTGATGTTTGGAACAATGAGTAATGAACTGGAATTCAGAGATTTCTTGGTATTTTTATAATGTGTGCTAATAGACACAAAACAAAATTAATTAAACTACAAGTTTTGCAAAACCATGCTTGTAGAGCAATTCATAGCTAAGTAGAATGAAAAATCTTTTAAATGTGATGACGAAAGTCTTAATCTTGGAAAAAGCAGATTCTTATTTTTGTGCTCATATATAAAAATGATATGCTTCCAAATTCCTATTTAGACATATTTTTATCATATTTTTTCTGAAGTTATTATTTGCGATTAAATAGTTTCCATAAATATTATACTAAAAAAACTAAACCCTGTATTTAGAATTTTTAATTAAGTCACAAGGCCCATGAATATGGAAAAACTTGAAAAACCAACCTTTAAAAGACTTATCCCGACGGGCATTTGTTTTTAAAAGTTACGATCTAAATGTATTTTAAATGTCTTTTAAACGTTTTCTAAACATTCTTACGCAAAAAACGTTTAAAAGACATTTAGAATACATGTAGAACGTAACTTTTAAAAACAAATGCTCGTCGGGATCTGATATATTATCGTTTTAACGAAATGCAAAATTATATGTTCTTGGTTCGTAAAAATGATTGCAATAAATAAAAAAATTAAAATTATAACATTAAAAAAAAAAAAAAGATATATGTTAATGGCGCTGTTTATTAAATCTGTAAAAATAATTTTTTTAAGAGTTTTATACCCAAAAATGCTGAGTCTTCTTTGATTTTCTTTTTTGGGTACTATACACATATCTTGTATTTGGGGGGAAAAAATACTTTATTTCTATCAGTTTAATCACAAACAGTAAGCAATAAATCAAAATGTCCAAACAAAAACCTACGTATTCAAAAGTTAACAAAGTTACTTTTCTTAATATACCTAAATAGAAAATAAGCTAAAGATCAAAATGATTACCATAAAACAGATCCTAACAAAAACCAAAGTATTCGTAATTCTCAAAAACTAACAGAGTTTGTATTTTATAATACTGAAATAAAAAATAAGCTTTTTAAACAAATCAATTTCTAAAAAGTTATCTCGTGATAAGCAAAATTTTCTTCTTTTGTGAAATTAATTCTCGAAACCGAGAATTAATTAGACACGAATGTGAGCTTGCTGGGAGCATTGACAATCATTTTATTTCATACAGACGTCTGTGCCTTCTGAGTTGAAATAAAATGATTGTCAATGCTCCCAGCAAGCTCATATTCAATTAAAATTAATATTAATGCAAAAAGACGTTACATTCTCATTGTTGATTGCAGATTATTTTTGATCTTTAGTTTACTGAAACTTTTCACATCATAAACTTATGTAAAAGGAAGAGTGAATTTGTTTTTGTAGAGAATAGACAAGTTAGGAAAAAATGATGTCATCTCTTTCTCTATTAAGAATGGATCTACACCGTTCATTTCCCGAGAAAAAAAAACCCGGCTAATACTACTAGGAATCTGTTTAACTTCCTGCTAATCCTGTTAAGTTTCTGCTAATACCGCTAATCCTGGTAAGTTTTCGCTTAATACGGCTAAACCTATTAAGTTTCCCATTAGTCAAATGACGTTTATGAATTTCCTGCTAATCCTAGTAAGTTTCTACTAAGTACTTATCAGGATTAAACGAATTACTTAGTAAGTTCTTAGTAAGTTTTCAAAAATAAAACAAGTCGGAATCACGTGACTGTATTGCGAAACCAAAAGTAACCATATTGAATTGGGGGAAAACAAACTATTCTTTCCTTAGCGAAGTTAAGACTTTTTTAGAAGCACTATGTCCTTCAATTACTTTGAAACTTTATCAAAAGAAGCAGCGGAAAGGTATCAGCGAAAAATAAATCTTCTAGGTAATTTTACTTTAGTTTTACTCTGTTTAAATTAAAAAAATGCTATTAATTGCTGTTTAAATATTATTTTGGTTTAAATATTCTTTTCGTTATTAAATATTATTTATTAGTTATTAAATATTATTAGGGTTAAGTAAATGTCCATACAAGTTTACAGCAGATTCTTGGAGTGAAGATCCAAGTCAGTGGCCTTCTTTAAGCTATCACAATCTTTATCACTACTTGATTAAAACTCCACGTAAGGAATTCTTATCTAATTTCAAAGTTTTTTTTATTATTTCATTATACCAATAATATTAGTAACATTAACTGCTAACATTTCAAAAATTTTTTGTTTTCTTTGCTTTATAATATATATTATGGATGTATATACATGGATGTATATTATATTATGCTTTATATTATATATTATTTAAAAAAAATGTATATACAAAATCCTAATATAATTTTTTCAATGTTAACGTTTATTAGGTATCTATTCTCCAGAAGCAATGGAAAACTATAAGGCATTAGAGGCTTGGAAATTCTTTCAAGATGGGTGGGTCCAAACTATTGTCCATATGAAAGTATGTCAGAATGTTACTATCTTGAAATGTAAGGTTCGACCTTCATATAGGACCACATCTCCTAACCATAAACCTTGGGTTGCTCTCAACTCTCTTGGTAATGTTTTAACTGCTCACTGTGACTGTATGGCTGGGTAAGTCTCTTTTATATAAAATTAGTAAAAATAGAATTAATAATTTTGATTATTAGTATAAGCTAATAAAAAATTAATAAACTGATAATAATTGTGAGTTATTTTGTGGAACTTTTCATATGTTTTTATACCTATAGTTTACCTATAGTTTTTTATCGACTATAGTTTTATAGTTTTTATCTATTTTTTAAGTCTTGGTGAAACGTGCTCACATGTTGCTGCAATGCTATATAAAATTGAAGCTGCTGTTCGTATTGGAATGACATCAAGCACATCAACTGACTTGCCTTGTCAATGGAACCAAACATTTACGAAAAGTATTGTTGGCTCCCCAGTTGCTCAAATCAACTTATATTCTGATGCTGCAAAAGAAAAACTTTCTAAAAAGAGTAAAAGAAAAATGCCTATTTCTCCAACACCTCAAGAAAAAAATGATTTTTTATCAGAAATACAAACTGTGCAGCCCAAAACTGCTGCTCTTCATTTGTTTAAAGATTATGATAAGGAGTTTATTCAAATAGAATCTGCTGTCGTACCAAAATTACCAACATCTTTGAGAGAGTTTTTTAATGAAAACTATAAATCACTTAATAATGAACAAAAGCTATCTTATCTTGATGAGAAAAAAAAAGAAATAAATTTGACTTCTGATATGATAGTTTATGTTGAAGAAGCAACACGAAATCAATCGCTATGTGATACCTGGTTTAGAGTAAGAGTTGGTCGAATAACTGGCTCCACTTTGCATCAAGTTTTTAATGCTAGAGTTGAAACACCTTCTGTGTCATTAATTTTAAATATTTGTGCACAGAAAAATATACAGATAAAAAGTCCTGCAATAAAGTGGGGAAGAGTAAATGAAATAAATGCATTGATTTTATATAAACAGATTCATTCTGACTCAAATGCAATAAGTAACTCAAAACCACTGTCAGATATTTTTATTCATCAAAATTTGAGAGTTGAAAAAATTGGACTTTGTATTGACTTTGAAAAACCATGGTATGCAGCATCTCCTGATGGTGCTGTTTATTGTACTTGTTGTGGGCATGGAGTTTTAGAAATTAAATGTCCTTTTAGTTTAAAAGACAAGTCATTAAAAGAGCACATAATTAAAAATGCTTTTTATGTTGGTGTAAACGCGGATGGAAACTACTTTTTAAAAAAAGAACACCAATATTTTTTCCAGGTTCAACTTGAAATGAGAGTAACTGGAGTCAGTTACTGTGACTTCATGGTGTGGACACCCAGTGAATTTGTTGTATTGCGCATTGAGCCTGACACCACTTTCATTGAGAATGTATTAATTAAGTGTGATATCTTTTGGAATACTTTTATTTTGAGAGAGTTCGTTACACGAGAAATCGAATCAGAAAGAGAATTGCTTTCTTCAACATCAAATAATACTATAAATAAAGACATACTTTTTTGCAGTTGTAAATCTAAGTTTTCAAAGTGATGATACAATGGTTGGTTGTGGTTCATGTGATAACTGGTTTCATCTTAAATGTTTATCTTTGAAATCAGCGCCTAAATCTTCTGTATGGTATTGCAGTGACTGTAAATACAAAAAAAAGTTCCTACACACTATAAAAGTAATTTATGTATTTTTAATTTTAAAATATAATTATTAGTTTTTTAAACTATATATTAAATACATTATGGAAATTTTTTTTAGCCTTTTATACAATAATGGTGCACAGTTGAGAAATCAAGAAAACATTGGCTTGCTCAATTAAAAGAATATGTATCTTCTTGGTGAGTTAAAAAAACGGCTATTTTCATAGCCACATATTATTAAAAACATATTAAGGCGTACGTTTTGAACTAATACAGTTATAAATAAAATACTTATAGCCAGTTAAGTTGTTTTGCGCTTTATATGAAAACCCTTGCCTGTCAAAAAGAGAAAATTCTTCATAATAACCTTGGATTAGGGTAGGTGGCACTTTTAGATGCTTATTAAAAGGGTGACTCTCGATATCTTGTTTTATGGTTTTGATTTTTTAAACAGTACATTAAAAGGTTTTATTTTTATCCGTGTCTTTATAATTTTTTTACTTTAAAGTCTGATTACACCAAAAGTTTAAAACTTGTAACCCCTACCCCCTCTCTCTCTTTCTCATAGAACTTTTTAAAAATAATAATAAACATGGAGGAAGATAAAATAAAAGAGGGGGGTCTTAATGCATTTTTCAAAAAGTAGTGAGGTCATAAAACGATCTGAGTATTTTTATCTTCCTTTATATATAACTAAAGGTAGCTTTAATTTGCAGGGCCGACGACATCATGGAGACACCGAGCCCCATCCCCCCCCCCCCAACCACTTTTTTTCTAAAGGACCCTTTTTTTTTCTTTTAGAAAATTCAAGATATCGAGGACTTTTCTTAGAAATTGATAATTATGCCCCTCCTCTTCGAAACTCATGTCGTTGGCCATGGTTTGGTACAGAAGATTTTTAGAAATTTAACCTTCTCTGATTTTTTAACGGGAGTTTGAATTGCGTTGCTTTTCTCTAAACCGACTAACACCCTGGTTTTTTTCCTTTATTCGTGTACATTTTTAACACGGTAGAGAATTACTCTCAATTAAAAACCTACCTTTTTTAAAATTATAACTTACAACAGTTCCTTGTAATGTTTAAAAATAAAAAACAAAGAAAATTGTCTGCAGGGCTGGAATTATAAAATATGTTAGCATGTATGGGGTTAACCGTGAGCATGTAGAGGGGTTAACTGAGAGCATACAGGTGTGTACAGCAAAGGATGGCCTTCAAGACGGCAAGTATTTACGCGGTTTTTTTTAACCAAAGACAATAATTTTCATTCCTTCTGTTAAGAACGCATGTTTTTTAGTTATGCACAAAAAATTTTAAAAGTTTTGATTTTGTTTGGTTTTACAATTTTGAAATATTACTTAGAGTACTCGATTTTATAATAATAATATATATGTATATATATATATATATATATATATATATATATATATATATATATATATATATATATATATATATATATACATATATATATATATATATATATATATATATATATATATATATATATATATATATATATATATATATATATATATATATATATATTGGAATAGCATATAACAAAAGACAATAGACTATGTATTTTTTGTTACCAATAATAAAACCACTAATCTCTTGTAAAGAATTATCTATACCAAGTAATACTTTTAATATGATTTGTGGCTATGAAAATAGCCGTTTAAAAAATAACTAAGATAAAAGGTGAGTTTTATCGTAAACAATACCTTCCCCAAGGTTTGTTAGAGCAGCGCATACGGTTACTATTTTGTCACAATTAGAAAGAGTAAGTGACGTAGCTTCGTCAGAAATGTTTTTAACTGTTCGCAGCGGCAAAGTACCTTGAAGAATTGTATAGCGGTTTTTTAATAGTCCAATAACTCTTTCAATATGTATTCTAACCGATGATATATTACGAGATTTTTCTACATCTGAAGCAGAAAGTTGAGCTTTACCTTTCGTAAAAGCTGGGTTTATCAATAAAGAGCAGCTTCCAGCAGCAAAATCATCTTGCAATGTAAAACCTCTATCTGCTAAAATTTGATCACCTGGCATATGGTACTTGCTAGATATGAATTCTGATTCACGGACAATTTGATTATCTGAAGCTCTACCTCCATAGCACTTAGAAATAAAATTGATAGCTCCAAGAGGTGTACACGATATAAGACATTTTATTGTGCAATTCTTTTTATATTGGCTGTAAAATTGTGCTCTTGCCATAAGGGATGATGGCGATTCCACAAAAACCTCAAAACAATCAATAATCGATGTTAATCGTGGAAATTTGCACTTGAAAACTGGAGGAATTGTGTCGTAAATATGATCCCTATCTTGCATTTTTATTAAAAACTTTAATTTAATATACATAATATCTATCCATTTCCAAAAATTGTTCAATGCAGTAGTTTTTTTAAAACCAAACATAAACGATAACATATCAAAGTTAATGTTGTGCCTTAACTTTACTAAGCAGAATACAATTTGATCTGCTGAATCCAATCTTTTAAGTAAACTTTCATCAGTTCCTTTGCACAGGAAACACAGCAGCTTTTCTAATACTGGTAGACTTAAACCTGTAACCATAGTGCATTTATCAGGTTGTGATCGAATTTTATTTATGCCCAGGTTGCAATTATCAAATTTTAAGGACATAAACTTTGACATAAATAAATCTCTTTCTAAACGAAGATTATTTATTTCACTATAGAGTTGTTGTCTCTCCGATGTTGTTACAGGTCTTATGCCATCAATATCTGAATACAAATTAAAAAAACTCTCAGTGGAATTTTGCTTCAACTGACAATCGGTGTCATTAAGAACACTTGTTTCTAAAAAAATAGAAGAAAAAAGTATTTATATTTACTTCTAAGTAGGTAAGTATTTATATTTACAAATATTTTATATAAAAGACAAAGATATAATTGAAGATAAGATAAATATTTTTTTGTAACTCTTATTGGAATCTTCAGCACTTATAGGAATAGGAAATTCTGGAAAAAATTAAAACACTGTATTTATAAAGAATTTCCAAAAAAAAGAAGAAATATATATAAATTGGTCATTTGAGAAACACCTCATATACAAAAAAATAAAACTCAAAAAAAAACCATATTCATACATCTTTTGAATTTTTTTGTATTTTTCTACTGGAGTGACTAAGTGGAGATGATTTGTTTTATGCATGTTGGATGTGTCTAGCCTTCACAAACAATTTAATGTCTAACTTAATTTTGGCCAAAAATGGACATTTCTCAAAAGACTGATTCATATATATTAATTAAATAGTAATCAATACCTTGTCTAAAAATATCACTTGAGTATTGTTCTAAATTACCTTCATTAGGTGTAGAAAACCAAAACTCTAGAAGAAAAAATCAAACTTTTTTAAAATGTATGTAGATTTGAATACAATAATTAATCCTTGTTTAAAATCTTTACAAAAACATTGTTCTAGAAGATTTTTATTTGCATTTAGGATTACTATGTTCTGGAAAATATTAACAAATAAAGTGTTTATCAATGAGTTTTACAATTGTGCAAAATAAAAAACATAAAAAATTATTCTAAAAAAAAAAAGGTTTTAACTTAAAAATTATCTATAAGCTTCAGAGCATTGATTGAAAATATTTTCATTATTCATTGGAAAATAAATTCTTGAGAAAAATTTTTTATTAATTTACAATAAACATTAAAAATACAAAATACAAAAAATTTAATAGCAATTGTATGCTTTATTCATATCTATTCTAAAACTATTGCTAAATTATTGTTTTATAATAATTCTATTAGGTTTAGAAACGCTAAAATCTGGGGAAGAAAAATCAAAATTTAAAGGAAAATAAAAGAATATATACATTTGAATATGATAATCAATACCTTCGCTAAAACTTTTGCTTGAGCTTTGTTTTAAAAGATCTTCGTTACATGTAGAATTACTTAAACTTATGCTGGAACATTGTTCTAATTGCTCCTTATTTGATTCAGAAGGATAAAATTCTAGAAATGTTTTAAAAAAATCATTTTTTTTTAATTTAAGAGATTAAGTTAAAATTTAAACTTTATTTCTTTAAAATTTAAAAACAATACCTTGTTTCTCAAAACTCTTGCTAGAACATTGTTCTAAAATACTCTCTGTATATGCAGAATCATTGATTTCTGAAAAATTAAATACAATTTTTTCACAGTTTTTTTTATTCATTTACATTACAGCTACAACACATAGTCATTCATTTATAATATCAATAAAATTAACTAATTTACTTCATTATTAAATATTAATGACCTTTACTACATAAGCTCTTTTTTTCAATTACAAAATCAACTTTTTCTCTGTTAGATTTATCAAAAAGTTTTAGTTTCTTACATACAGGAACAACCAAATCTGTTTAACAAAAACAACATAAAAATTCATCAAAACAAAACAAAAACATAGCATTTCAAAATACAAAATGAGAGTATTACTAAAAATTATTTGAAATAAAAATAATTTTTACTTTGTCTACTTATTCTTCTATTGACTCTATTAATTCTATTATTATTAATTTTTCTTTGAGGGGAACTTAGTTTTTCAGTATCAAAGATTGAAGGAATTGAGTCTGGATGTTTTTCAAAAAGTTCTCTTTTTCCTAAACAATTGTAAATATTGTAGTATAAAAAGTACTGATATATGTATATGTATTTATCAATACTAATTTAAGATGCAAAGTAAAAGTACCCACCAGTAATAAAATGTGCCGAACAAACATAAACATTAGAAGATTCAGGAGACCACTGCTTCCTACATGCACTATTATCTGCAGCACGATTTATCACATTTAGCCACTTTCTTCGAAGTATTTCATCTCGAGGAAGACTATAAAACTTAAGTTCTTGATTTTTTTTAATATTGTTAGTGCAACCAACAACACAACAACTTTTTGGCATTTTTTTTAAAAAGTACTCAACAAACCGCTATGGATTTTTTAGTTTGTTTTCCCCCAATTCAATATGGTTAATTTAAAAAAAAAAACTTTTTAATACGGTGTGACGTCACGCCGACTGGATGGATAAAAAAATCGTCTTTGTTATACGCCATCTTTTATTTATTCACACGGAAGTCAAGTCAGCTCTTAACAGCTTTTTTAGATTCAATAGTTTTACTAAATAAAATTTGTAATTCTATAGGAAAAAAGCTAAAGAACATCTGGGGATGATTGCGTGGTTTGCAGCCTGACTAAAAATTTTACTTAGACTAAATGGGAGTAAACCATTTGATATTAAAAATTGGTCAATCTTGAAATCGCTCTTTTATAAAATATATATAAACATTTTTTACTGGTAAATATATTTTTATTTTTATTGTTATCTCTTGTTAACAAGATTTAACATTTCTTTTTAACATGTTGAACAAACTATAAAATTATTGAATGTTGTTATATTTTATGTTATAATTTTTATTTTCTTTATATTAAGATTTTTGTTATAAATGCCATAATATATATTAATTTAAAAGATTGAACTAAACATATTGTGTGTTTATATATATATATATATATATATATATATATATATATATATATATATATATATATATATATATATATATATATATAAACACACAATATGTTTAGTTCAATCTCAAACCATGTACAATCAATCAGCTTCAGGTAACTATTTAATTTTCTGTTTCTTTTTATATAATGTGATTATGCATAATTATTCATTATTCATGTTGAATTTAAATGAAGAACTTGTAATGTTTTAAGTGTGTGTTTGTATATATATATATATATATATATATATATATATATATATATATATATATATATATATATATATATATATATATATATATATATATATATATATATATATATATATATATATATATATATATATATATATATATATATATATATATATATATATATATATAGGTAAATCTGCACTTAAGTGGCCTAAAATAATTTTATGTTTTAACTTTACACGCTCTCGTTCGCAGAGATTTGAAAAATTTGTAATTGTTATTATTAAACTTTTTTTTTTAAATGATTTTTAACCATGATTTTTATTAAATTTTCATTCGGGTTAGATTTTTATTTGATCGTTCAAGCTTTATATTTTATAATTTTATCTAACAACATTTTTTAATTTTTTAAACTATAATTGTCGCTGCTAAGTAGTGTTTTAGGGTTTGGGCTAGCAGAGTATAATGGGTGACTTTCACTCTGGCGCAAGAGGTTTATAGGTGCTAATTTTTAAAAAATTTGTAATAGACTCCATAAAATTGCCATAATATGGCAATTTTATGGAGCCTATTATTAATTTTTTTAAAATTATTATCATACGATATAATAACAGACTCCATAAAATAAAGCTCAAGTGTACAAGTATTTTCTATTGTATTATGAGCCATTTGTGTTTTACAAACTTGGTAATGCTGAAATTTGTTCTCTTTATTTAATGCTTTCAACATCTATTTATACATTATCCAATGAAATTATTTCATCAAATGATATTGATGCTTGTCAGCAACTAGTATATTTATTTCAAAAGGCATTATGCTCTTATTTTGGTAAAGGTATTCGCACATTCACTTTCCATGCATTAGCACATCTCTCTAAACAGGTAAAAAATTTTGGACCTCTTACAGCAATGTCAGCTATGATGTTTGAAAATGTAAATCACCAACTAAAGAGGTCTGTTACAGGAACTAAAGGCCATTTAAGACAAATGGCTGAAAAATTTGTTAGATTTCAGGCGGAAGACCACTTAAATACTTTTTCTTTGAATCCTTTTGTGTTAGGTGCAGCACAAAATATATCAGAGAAGTTGCGGAATATGGATTTGAATGATTTAAATGTTGACCTAAATCTTTATCAGTTTTATAACCGTTTTAGAGTTGCTGATAGTGCTTATCATTATGGTAAAAAACTAAAATCCGCTTCATATTATGCATATTTGTTAATAGAATTTAATGTGATTGTGAAAATTTTGTTCATTGCACATAATCAAAAAAATTTTTTGTGTATATGTCGATTGTATAAAAATGTAAGTAAGTTTCATCGTCATATGGATTCTTTTAATATTCCTATCAAAATCAGGCATATTTTGTTAAAAATATCTCCTTATTTGTTGTTGAAAAAGTGTGGATTAGCTGTTTTTGATTCAATTTTACTCACTATGCTCTTGTAAAAAAAACAAAGAAATTTTTTTATGGTGTTGTTGTTAAAAATAATTATGAACATGATTAGGTTTTATTTCTATTTTTTAAAGTTTGAAATTGTATTATGTTTTTTTGTATTATTACATATTTACTTTACAATGTTCTTTTTATTCAAAGTTGTTATTTAAGATTCTGTTTGAAATCAATTAATTAATGAAACATCAAACTTAATTCATAATGGCGACAAGAGTTTGTTGTTAACAATGATCTAATTCAGATTTCTTTTTGTATCATTTTGACTTTATGTAGTGTTTCTTTTAAGAATTAAATAAATTCGTGAAGACAAAAGAAATCGTATCCACCTGTTATTGCAGATAACATGTGGATACGATTAAAATCTATTAAATAAATTAAATATTTATATTTTTGATATAATTATTAATTGTTTTTGGTTAACTGTAAATTTTCCTTTTTTTATATGTATATATATATATATATATATATATATATATATATATATATATATATATATATATATATATATATATATATATATATATATATATATATAAACACACTCACACACACACACACACACACACACACACACACACACACACACACACACACACACACACACACAGGGCTTATTTAAATTTTTTTAATATAATTTAATTTCATATTTTCATACACTTTTATTTTTAAATTTTAGATCATAATAGCTTTGAAACAATGATAATGAAAGTTTTTCATCGTTCTAAATTTATGGTGAGTAAAATATGCTTTTTTATTGTAAAATATATGTTATTAGGTTGTTGAATTGCATTAATATTTTTTTAAATTACGTTATAGCTACAGTTATGGTCGTAAAAGATTAAGACAAATCTTATGGGTGCAATTATTCCACTGGCACCCGCGAAATTGCCAAAAGAACTGACCATCGCTGTTTATTGTATTTTTTTAAATGTTTTAGTTAAACAATCTAACACTTTATTATTTGTTATTTTTATTATTGTTTTATAAATAAGTGTCCTTATTGCTTAGCGACTAGTTAAATTATATTAGAAGGATTATATTTTCAAGAAGAATCTGTGTTTAAGCAAAAGTTATTATTTTTACTTAAACTCGTATATTTCTTGAAAAATAACTATGAAATCTTTAAAACTCAAATAACTAAATTAAACCCTAATAAAAATATGAATGTAACTAAAAAAACTATTAAATAAAACTAGAAAGTAATACTTAACCGAGAAAAAAAATCTACTAATCCTGTTAAGTACCTACTAAGTTCCGAATGAAAACCCTAGTAATCCTACTAAGTTTCCTTCTAAAAGCTTGCTAATCCTACTAAGTTTCCTACTAAAAACTTGCTTATCCTACTAAGTTTCCTACTAAAACTTGCTAATCCTAATAAGTTTTCTACTAAAACTTGCTAACCCTACTAAGTTTCCTCTAAAACCTGCTAATCCTACTAAGTTCCTAGTAAGTACTCGGCGAGAACTTACTAAGTTTTAGTAGGAAACTTATTAGAAACTTAGCAGGATTAGCCGGTTTTTTTTTCTCGGGTTATAGTTCAGTCGTCACTGCTGGAGATACTGATGTATACACATATTTGAAAGAGGGCCGGAGCGAGTAGATTTCAAGTGGGGAGGGGATGCCATACGGGTTTTTACCAAAAACATATTTAACTCATAAAAACAAACCTAAATTGCTCCACAATGTTGAAATCAGTCTATTTAAAACTTTTTTCCCCTTCCTTTTCACAGCTGTTTTAATACACCAAGTCACAGTTGTTTTGATGCACAAAACTATGTTTAAAATCCTTTGAATGTACATTATAATTACAAGAGATATTTTCTTAGAACAAAACGTTTCTGTTTCGAATTTTTGCCACAAATGCGGGAAAATGTTTAAATAGTTTATTGTTACCTAGTTTTCTATTTCCATTTAAATAAATGCAGAATTTTCTAATAAGAAATTTACATTTTTGTGGGCGCCAATTGACTGACTTAGGGAGCTCGGGGGCTTAACTAGTGCATTAGATTTAGAACAAAACCTTAAAAATAATTGACTATCAATTTTTATTAAATTTGATTCGTAAATAGCGGCACTATGTGGTTAGGCCTGACTTGAATGAAAAAATTTAGTCATTAACGAAGTCATTAAAAAATTGTCGCAGTTTTTCAAATACTTTTTTACGGCATAATATGAATATTCGCAAATGCCTATAATAGTTACTTGTAATAAAATATCACATCCGCCTAAAATATTACATCCCCATAGAAAAAATGAAAACGAGAACGCGCTTTCGAGTCATTGCACTTAGAAGTGTATCAAATGCGTCCGAAACATTCAATTATAAACAATATAATTAAAACGAGATTCATAAAAACGTTTTTTTACTAATATACTATAAATGAAGTTAGCATAAAATGGTAATATATTTTAAATTCTTATTTATAATATTTTGATCGTAATGTATTGTGTGACAATAGCGTAGAAGAAGATTACACATTAGGGATACTTTATGTAATAAAAATAACAATCTTACTTAATTCTTACTTAAAATATCACATCCCCTCTATGTTTACCTTTAAAATATTACATCCCCCTAAGTAATTCATACAATATTTCAAACGATTAGTATTTGGTATCTAGAATATCACATCCCCTCGGTTTATTCACTGTATATGTCACAAAAAGAAACTGAAATTCTTACTTAAAATATAACATCCCCCCCCCCCCCCCGATGTCTACTTCTAAAATATTACATCCCCCTAAGTAGTTTATAAAGTATTTTAAACAATTAGTATTTGGTATATAGAATATAACATCCACCACTTGTTATTTCTGTATATGTCACAAAAAGAAACTAGAGTTCTTGCTTAAAATATCACATCCCCCCTATGCAGGCTTCTAAAATATTGCAAACGATTGTTATTTTTATTACATAAAGTATCCCTAATGTGTAATCTTCTTCTACGCTATTGTCACACAATACATTACGATCAAAATATTATAAATAAGAATTTAAAATATATTACCATTTTATGCTAACTTCATTTATAGTATATTAGTAAAAAAACGTTTTTATGAATCTCGTTTTAATTATATTGTTTATAATTGAATGTTTCGGACGCATTTGATACACTTCTAAGTGCAATGACTCGAAAGCGCGTTCTCGTTTTCATTTTTTCTATGGGGGATGTAAATATTTTAGGCGGATGTGATATTTTATTACATACTACACCAAAATTTATATATAATTTTTATCAATAATTATTAATGTATTTTTTATCAATCTGATACGTAAAAATTTTGTTTTACTTGTTTATTTTTACTTTAAAAAGTGTATTTATATACGGTATACCTTAAGAAAATAAATAAATTAAATTATAAGGTTAAAAAGTTTGTAAACAACAGAAAACTTCCTAATTTAGTAGTTTTTCTATAAAATAAGTTTAATGTAGGTATTATTTATAAAAATATGAAGATTGGAATTCTTAAAATAGTTTTGAATTGGAAATAATAATATTTTTTATTTAGTTTTCTTTAATTTGTTTTAGTTTAATTTGCTGGCTAAAATTTGAAATAAACTTTTAATAACATGTTATTAGTTAGGACAGCTTACCACTGCTCCTAAAATTTACTATCCCCACCTCGCAGATGTAGGGTTTTCGAAATATCCATAAATTTTATTCCACAGCTGTATAAATAGTTTTTAATAATTAACTGTGTAAAAATTATATTTTAGATTTCTTTGTATCAAATTTGTTAAAATGTGTGAAGATGAAGATATAATACTTAAAAGTTCTCCACTTGATAGATATTTGAAGAATATTACTGATACACCTTACTCTAATTATGAAAGTATTTTAAACAAATCAAAGTCTTCAGATAAAGTGATTCTTCCTGGTGATAATAATTTAAAATGCAAATCTGTTGTACCACTATTTTTAGTAAATTCTTGCTTACAGATTATTAACTCAGGACTTCTATTAGATAATGATGAAAAGCTGCTTTTTGAATTTAAAGAAAATTTAGCTTCTAACTACAAGTTTTCTACTTCGAAAAAACAGTTATTTGAAAGCCAATTTATATATATATTACCTTATTTAGTTTGTGTTTTGAGTATAGTCATACCCTTCTTTGTGCAAAAAATCCTCCTGTATATTTCTTTTATAATCATTTTGAGTATCTTAGCCTTTTTTTTACATAAAATTTGGTATAGAAGGAAAGTAAAACAGTTCACTAATTCAATTTTAGAATTTTGCAATGTGTTACATGAGTTTAATTGTCTTTTGGATAAATGTGTTGTTCATGTAAAGGAAGTTGAGATTATTACTCATGGAATTCCTAATTTAAATTCTTTTAAATTAGCTGGACTTGATTTCAGAAAATTTAGTGGACAAACATGCAGTCTGCTTCGAAATTTGCTTGTTAATTCAATTTGTAGTAGTTTTCATAAATGTAGAAATTTACAAAAAATAATTTTAAAAGGAAACAGAATTACTCATAGGTTTGATCTTAAGGATGAGTATATAGCTTCAATTTCACTTGATTTTTTTTCTGAATTACTTAATTTAAATGGGAATATTGCTGATTTGAAAGATATCAAACAACTTATTGGTTTATATCGTCTTCAATTAAGTGAATTAGTTTATAGAATGGCATATGAGATTTATTTTTCAGAGTTTAACAAAAGTTGTCAAATTATTGAATTAACTAATGACATTACAATTTCGGTAAAGGAATGTATTCAAGAAATTCAGCACAGTCTAAATCTGTCAATTAAAAATATATTTGAAAAAAAGGAAATGATTCCATTGAGAACTAATCAAAAAGAAGATAGTACTAATCAATTACTTCATTCATCAGAAATATATTTGTTATGTGCTCTAAACTGCATTGAAAAAATCAGGGATATATTCCCAATTTCAGCAGATTTTGAAACTGATAGTAAACTAGCGCTATTGTTATGTGTTTGCATGCAGTTTAATGTAGCTTTAGAAAATGCTAAATTGCTTGTTGAAAATATTGAAAACAGTGTTAAACCAAAAAAAGTTACAAATCAAACAGTATCTGAAAAATGGTGGAAAGAACAAGGAAATGATAATGTAGTTATGTTTCAAGAACACGAAAAACAAGGTGACTTGCTCTATGAAGGAGAAAGTGAAATATTTACTTCTAAAATTGTTGATTTTGAAAATGTAGATGACTCTGAAAAATCAAAAAAACTAGAAAGTAAAAGTTTAATGAGAGAGTTAAAATGTATACTGGCTGTTAAAGAAAAACCAGAAGGTCTCATTTCATTTCCTCTTTCTAAGCCTACAGAAATGAATGATTATGAAGAAGACTCCAGTAAAAAGTCTGATTTTTATTATAAGCGCAATAGATTGTACACATTTGATCAAAATGATTATATTAAACCAGAATTCCAGTTACCATTACCAGTTAAGAATCTTGCTGAAGAAATTTATGGGAATAATTTTGAAAATGACCAAGAAAATGATCAAATGCATTAAAGCAGTTTAACTTTTTTAATTCTTTTTTATGTTGTTTATTTTGTTAGTTTTGAAATTTCATTTTTTAAGGTATTTTGTTACAAAAGGTTATTAAATTTTTTTTTAATACCAAATAATTAAAAATGTTAGATAATTTTTTAATCATATATTGGATTTCTATCTTATCAGCTATCATGATTTTCTTATCCTTTTTTCAATCTTGGTAGTGACTGAAAAGTTTATAAAAGATAAATTTAAAGATAGTAACATAGAATGTTAATAAGTTATCTTTGTTGCTTTTGAAATATAAAGAAATAGAATAGTAGGATTGATTTGATTGGTTGATTTAAGAATAAATATTAAATTGATTTTATTAGTTGCTTTGGGAATATCATAATATCATGATCAGTGGTGGATGCAAGATTTTTTAAAACTTTAGTAATAACACTTATAGGCATTGTAAAAATTTGAATATGCTTATGGGGAGGG